CTTTGCTTCCATTTCCAAAAGAGAAGCACTTTCATTCATGGATGCACATGAACAGTGGACAGGTTTCCTAAAAGTTCATTCTAAAATTGAATATATCAGCTGTTGAGGTTAAAACAACCCATGTCTATGCATGCTTAAAAAAATAAATCTCCTTTTCTGATTTTTCCATAGCACACAAGAGCACTTTTCTTCACAGTGTCACCCTTATTTACAAACCAAAATCATTCCTTTGGAATAAGCTATTCTTCTAAGCCTTCTTGTTTCTTACTTTCCAATAAGGGCACGTCCACATCTCCAGCACTGTTCACTTGTGTCTCTTCAGTGCTCCTGGTTTCCTCTGGTGTGCGATGTGCAAAAGTGTACGGCTCACTGTCACTCACTGAGCAGAATGGGGACTCCCCTGGGTCAGAAACTTTAGTGGCTTTCATGAAAGAGATGGGAGGTGGAGTAGGCGGTATGGCACTCACTGGTCCATCAAAAGGCCGATACACATCTACCTCAGGAATGATTGATCCATTGGCTTGCATCTGAAAATCTCCATAGACCATGGCATCATCAATGACTGCATAGACATGGGAATCATTGTCCTGCCTCCTCTTCTTGAAAAAGTCCTGTCTTCCAGGCATCTGGGTGTTGATGTTGGCATTGTATATACCTACCCCAGGGTTCTGGCTTTCTTTCCTCCTGTTATAAAGCCAAAATTAACTAGTGAGAACCACTGTCAATCAATGTGTTACTTGTGTATTCAAACTCTGTAAGGCAACAACTTCTACTTATTTTTATACTTCATATTTAATTATATTTCCATCAATGCCTCAAGCATTTTCTCTGCAGGCCAGTGGAGTTTGTTTGCAAGGAGTTTACAGCTAGAAACACTGCCCTAGGGCAAAGTGCCCCAACTTTTTGCACCCAAGCTAGAAAATGATAGGACTTTTCAACAGCTTGTTTCAGGGGAGATGATTTTTCAGAGCTCTAGTCACCTCCTAGCAATCTACAAACTGAGGAGCCAACCCTGCACAGTTACATGAACAAGTACCCTGACTGGCTTCCATGAGACTACTCATCTGAATAAAGTTATGAGTGTTTGCAGGATTGGTTTCCTTCCTTCAGGGTTCAAATTTATTTTAAATAACTAATCTTCGCAGGCCACGAGAACCCTCTAGCCCTAGAAGCTGTGCAGAAAGTGATTGATTTTGGCCTTTGTCTATCCCACTCTCTCACTAGTATGCACTTAGTTTTCAGTTCATATCACCTGTAAACAGTTGCCACCCATAACCATAAGAAATATTACTGATTTAATCATAATAGGACTTCCTTACAGCACCCGGAATTTACAACGTCAAATCTGTTCATGACTGAATGCTGCTCAATGCACCGATGCATAAAATGACTGACTTGTTTTAGGAAACATCAGGAAAGGGAAGGAGATTCCTGTCTGAATAGTGACTATACAGCACTTTCAGGGAGATCAGCCAAATGAGCTTGGAAACCTGTGTTAAAGTTCAGGTAATATCTACCGTAATACATTTAAATACCAGAAATCTATGCTGGTGCAAAGCTTGTGGGTAATATTGTTGCAAGATTCATAAGCTTTTTAGCTGCAACCCATTGTATCTATCTTTTCTATGCCTTCTACTGCATGCCTTCTTTAAGGGCCACTTATCTAGTATATGAAATAAGAGGAATGGTATTCCCTAGAAAAACTGCTTCTGAATATGCCTAAATCAGCATCTGGAGTAATGAACATACTTCTTTCTAGTGCAGCATATGATGATTCCAATAACTGCAAGTGCTCCAGCCACTCCAACCACCACAGCGATTATCACTAGCGAATCTATCAAAAGAAAAAGACACAACGAAAAGAAATAAAATCATACAGCAGTATGCAACAACAGTTAACCTCCCACTGAAGTCTAGCTGCCATACTCGACTCACATCATTGCTGCTAAAGATAGCAGGTCTGTGCAGAGGTCCTGTCTCACATCTGAGTGCCCGATTACACAAAAAAGTTTGAGCAAGGATAAGGATCCAGCAGTAAAGGAGTGAAATAAGTTTCAGCGCAGTAACTTGCCAGTGTAAACGGGTTCCCAGCACGGGGGAGGTGGTTTTCCTACAGTGTTAGGAGAGCTCTTTCCGAGCACTGGTGACACAACCACACTGTTGTGTTAAAGCAGTGCCACAGCAGCATTTTAATCTGGTAGACAAAGCCTAACTCTACTTCAACTAATTTAAAATGTAACACCAAAAAAGAAAAGCCACCCCTGCAGATCATTAACATGCCATAAATGAAAGCCTCACAAATAAATCAAGCAGGTCAATGCACCAAGGTTGTAGGAGTTTATGGGAATGAAGCTCTGGACATTTTACTGAATTAAAACAAAACAAAAAATGTAAAAGAAAAAACAAATTAAAGAGTGAAACAAGTTACAGGCAATGAAATCTGAAATAAAGAGGAACAGAATTAGAGGTCAATTAGAAGGTGATACAATCTATTCTAACCTGCATTGCCAATTCTTGCTCTAGGCCTCAATTCTAAAAGCACATGTATGGCTATGAATGCTGGTACTCACATTGATCTGGGACTATTTCTACAGATAAAGATTTTGCATATGATCTGGGGCTTAAAGATGGAGAATAAAGTGCACTACATTTTATCCGGACAGGCAGGAGGTCCACAGATTGGATGAGGCTTTTTTTAAACAACTCACAAAACAGCAGGATTTGGTGATGATCGGGGACTTCAACTATCCAGCCATATGTTGGGAAACTAACACAGCGGGGAACAGATTATTCAATACATTCTTGGATTGCATTGGATAACTCAGGAGAATTAGGGCATTAAAAATAAAACACTTGAGCAAGATATGAGAAGTAATTCTTCCACTCTACTCTGCACTGATTAGGCCCCAATTGGAATATTGTGTCCAGTTCTGGGCCCCGCATTTCAAGAACGATGTGGAGAAATTGGAGAAGGTTCAGAGAAGAGCTGCAAAACTGATTAAAGGTCTAGAAAACATGAGCTATGAGGGAAGACTGAAAGAACTGGGCTTGTTTAGTTTAGAAAAGAAGACTGAGAGTGTTTGGTCCTGCTGTGAGGGCAGGGGACTGTACTCGACCTCTTGAGGTCCCTTCCAGTTCTAGAATTCTATGATCTCTGACAAAAAAAGAAACTTTTAAAGTCCATACCTATGGCTCTCAAAGATTTTTGAGGTCCTAAAGGTGGAAACTAGGTCAAATTATAAAGGATGAATATAAGCAAACACCACAGGTATGCAGGGGCAAGATTACAAAGGCAAAGGCACAAAATGAGCTCAATCTAGCTAGAGACATAAAGGGTAACAATAAGACATTCTATAAATATATTAGAAGCAAAAGGAAGAACAAGGGCAGGGTAGGCCCATTGCTCAGTGAAGAGAGAGAAACAAGAACAGGAAACTTGGAAATGGCAGAGATGCTTCATGACTTCTTTGTTTCGGTCTTCACCAAGAAGTCTGATGATGAAGAAATGACTAACAAAGTGAATGCTAGTTGAAATGAGGTAAGTTTAGAAGATAAAATAAAAAAAGCACAAGTTTAAAATTACTTAGAAAAGTTAGATGTCTGCAAGTTGTTTTCTACATGGTATTTAAGGGTTTTTTTTTTCATAAACATATCCAGAAAACACAAAAGAGGTCACGTGACATTTTAATTCCCAAGGTCAAAGACTTAGCCTTAATCTACGCTACCAATGTATGTCAGTATAACGGTCACTCGGAGACATGGAAAATCCATACCCTTGAGCAACATCCTTATACCAACTTAACTCCCAGTGTAAACAATGCTGTGTCACCAGGAGAGCTTCTCCCATCGACAGTGCAACAGCCTCTTGGGGGAAGGTGGGGTGCTTACTTCAATGGGAGAAACCCTCCCATTGACTTAGGTAGCGTTTTCACTAAGCACTTTAAGTGACCTGTTCATACCACTGTACTCATCCAAGAAGTTCTTATGTGAGCTCCCAAACATGAGTAATCAAAGATTTATTGCACCCTACAGATCTCATCTCCAGCTGAAGAGGTAAAAGTATTACTACTACTTTTTGTGCATTTTTCATTTAGAAACATTCTCCGCTACAAACCAAATTTCTGAGCAATTAGTTCCTGTGTCTCCACATGGACACACAAAGCCTCTGGTAGCTGTATGGCTTTACTGTGTACAACAGTACAGGCAGATGGATATCAGATTCACAAATTTGCTACCATTGATGCTGACCCTGACTTGATAGTTACCAGAGTTTGCAGCAGAGCTTTGAAATGGGAAGCATTAGATTTTATGATTATGATATTCTGATTTAAAGGAGTGCTACTAATTAGAAAGACATGTGGTCAAGTCTCACGATGGGGCAGGGCACCAGGATCTCTTGATTTCTAATTGTAGCTGAAAGTTTCCTTCTGTAGCTTTGGACAAAACAATCTGTGTCTCTGCTCGAGTTACCACATCCTTACAAATAAGAGAAATTAAAGAGTTATTACCTATCACACAGCACTATTGAAATAATTAGTTAATGTTGATAAAGTGATTTGAAGACTGAGTGTACTATGTGAGTGTTAATGGTTTTCACTGTAAGAAAGATCAGACACATAAGTCAATCATGTACAGGTTGAACCTCTCTAGTCCGGCACCTTCAGGGCCTGACTGGTGCCAAACAAGAGAATTTTCCGGATCACAGAAGTTCAATATTATCTAGCAGCATTACCTATGCTTCCACTGCTTACTGGGCTGTTAAAAGACATTTGGGGTAAATTAGAGCTAAGTAACAGAACAGCACACTGAGAGCTAAGGCTGGTGGCTTTGAACAAACTTTATGGGACCATGGGAATTTTGGCCACACCCACAAAAGGTGGACATCCAGCTAACTAAATCATTCTGGATCACGGATGTTTTTGGATCAGAGTTTCAACCTGTATTTTGTTTCTAGATTCTGGCTGGCAAAGAAAGTTCTCCAACTTCATACGTGAACTTTAATCTGTGTGGATAACTCAGGAGAATTAGGGCATTAAAAATAAAACACTTGAGCAAGATATGAGAAGTAATTCTTCCACTCTACTCTGCACTGATTAGGCCCCAATTGGAATATTGTGTCCAGTTCTGGGCCCCGCATTTCAAGAACGATGTGGAGAAATTGGAGAAGGTTCAGAGAAGAGCTGCAAAACTGATTAAAGGTCTAGAAAACATGAGCTATGAGGGAAGACTGAAAGAACTGGGCTTGTTTAGTTTAGAAAAGAAGACTGAGAGTGTTTGGTCCTGCTGTGAGGGCAGGGGACTGTACTCGACCTCTTGAGGTCCCTTCCAGTTCTAGAATTCTATGATCTCTGACAAAAAAAGAAACTTTTAAAGTCCATACCTATGGCTCTCAAAGATTTTTGAGGTCCAGGTATTACAAAATGCAGGGATTTTATGACCAATATTAAACGGAGTAATATTTGTAGCCATTCCAGAAAAACCTTGTGCCACATTTTTACATTGATGCACGTTAAAAAATGCACACCCACAACATGCATTTAATATGTACCTTCATTATTTATACAATGCAAAAGCATGCCAGGTTTTTGATAGACACATAAGAGAAGTTTCTATATCTATAGATTATGACCCCACTTTTGCAATCAGCTCCATGTGACTGTAAGGATCCACTGGCCCTGACCAGATCAGATTGCTAGATTTGTGCCTAACTAGACATCTCACAAAAAAGAAAGGGCAGTTCGAGGAAATAATACAATGAAATTTTAAGAAGTCTTTTTTCGTGCGTCACTCTGGTTTTATTTCTCAATGTTTTCCAATTTTAACTTGTGTGTTGTTTTGCTTTCCAGTTATTAAATTCCCACTGCAATGTCAGGATTTCAGTATTATTTCAGACTTCTCCCATTGCTGAAAGTGCTTACAAAATGTTAAGAGCAAAGACTGACTTAATAAAAGCTCTTAGATGCAGGGACTGATTCTAAGTATTGTCCCTAATTTTATTGGATTTTTTCAAATGACTGCAGAGTGGATTATGGGTATGTCTAGACTACATGCCTCTGCCTAACGAGGCATGTAAATTAGACATACCGACATAGTCAATGAAGCGGGGATTTAAATATCCCCCGCTTCATTAGAATAAAAATGGCCGCCGCATTGTGCCAGCTCAACTGTTTGTCGGCACAAAGCGGCAGTCAAGACGGGGATCGGTCGGCAAGGAAAGACTTGCCGACTGATCCCTTATGCCTCGTGCTCTAGGCCTTGATGTCTTAGGGCCGATAGCGAGAACCTATGTGTAGTCCCACTGAAATTAGTGCATCCAAATACCAATGTTCAGACTAGGAATCTAATCCCACAGGAGTCTGAAACTCTTTTGTCCATTTTCCAATAAGAAAATATCGTCCCCTTACTTGCTTTTGAGCTAAGTAGCGAAAAGGAAACTGAAAAACAAAAGTTATAGTGAAATTGGGGAAAAAATCTAATAGTTAAAATATATATTCCTAAAAGCTAATAAAGTGTCTGAAATACAGATTGGTCCTTAAGTATCTTAAAATGTATATACCCAGTTTTACATTATCTGTTTTAACTAAGTTCAGAATAATATCTCACCATTCTGCTATTTCAATCTCTTCAGCATTTTAACACTTGCTACTTCATTTGACTGTTTCCCAAGAGAATGCATCCAAAAAAAGAGAGAGGATCCTGGCACAGAAGTTAGGCATCTGATGCTGCTTGCTACAAAATGCAGAAAAAGCTACTGAGAAGCATCCCTGTGCACAACAAATTGATGAAGCAAATAGTCTATAACTACATCCACATCTGTGGACGGAAAACACCAGAGTATCCGCACTGCAGAGCATTATCTTCCCTCAGTGGAGAAAAAGAGTGGCAACTCACCTGTCTTTTGCTGGACAAATGTCAACCAGAACTGCAGGCTCAGCTGCTTCTTGTTCACTGGTTTGCAGTTAGAGATGTTTACCCAGAAGTGGTGATACATATGAAGGGGCTCAGGAAGCATCTCATCTTCACGGCGCACAGTTTCTTCAGCCCTTGGTTTTTGTTCCTTTATGTTGACGTAGGCGCGCCCTGTTTCACAAGCAATGTCCATCCGCTCCTTCGAGAATGCTAAGCGAGCAACTTGCTTACTGGGGACTGTGATGTTCCAGGACACAGAGACATAAGGAGGCAAACCGTGGAACCAGTTAGGAGTCTGTAGATAAACTTGAGCTTTTGCGTCGGGGGTCACAGTGAAGATGCATTCCTCTGTAGCACAGGTAGAGATAGAGTGTATACATAATATTGCCACTGCTCTTAGCTTTCTCTTTAAATACATTACTTAGCCAGTCTTTTCTAAAATGAAACATGCATCACTTACAAAGGTGACCAGTGATCCACACAAAAAATCACAGCATCTCATCATAACATGCTTTACCTGCAGGATTTCCTTCATAACTACCCACCTACAACTCCCACTCTCAAGTTGTTATTCCCTCCTTACAGTGGCAAAACTACCCCTTGATTCAAAGGAAGCTTTGCCCAAGTGATGACATTAAAATTTGGCCTTAAGCAATTTAACAACTCCTATTTTATTAATGGATGTACAATGGTTATTTGTTAACGGATATACCAAATGAGTTGGGGAAATGGAATGAGGGAACAGACCCTCCACCTTACCTTTAATAAAAGGCACAAAAGACATTTTCAGATCCTGATTAAGAGACGCATTGAAGAATCCTCTGCCAAATGTTTTTAGGGATATGGTGATATTGTCTCTCATCTGAATCTTTTCAATGGCTCCACCAGGACAGAATATACCCAGGTCTAATTCCTTTTCCTTAGTGGTGCTGACAATGCCATAGCTGTAACTTGTATTGCACTTATGCTCTTGGACATGTTGTTGTAGTTTCAAGGATGGAGATGTTATTTCCACATTGATCTCTTCTGGAGCCAACAGCTTCCAAATAAACTTATCCAGCCGAATGGGGAGTTGGAAAATAGCCCTGGGCACAGTGAGGGCATAGATCTTCTTTTGGCAGTACCTGAGATCCCAACAGACTGCAGTCACAGAGACACAAATTATAGCAATACTTTTCCCATTGAGCAGAGCTATGAAAATGAGGCTTTGCTACGTGCTAGAGTGGTTAGGTCTGCACATAGGATTGCCAGATGGTTTAACCAAAAATACCAAACAACCCCCCCGCCCCCCTCCCAAAAAACCCCACCGGGACAAAAATTCTGTTGAGGAACCCCCAAAAACCCACCGGGACAAAAATTCTGTTGAGGAAAAAAAAAGGGGGGAGACCAGAGTTGTTGAGAAACGAGTTAAGCAAAAAAAAAAAAAAAAATACAAAAAATACAAAAAATAAAACAGCATGAAAACAGCATGGACCCTTTAAGAAAAGTCTTTAGGCTTTTTGCAGGGGCCATCTTGTTTTCTTGATCAGAGCCAGAAGGCAGCTTTCTTGCGGAACCAAGTAAGTAGGGAAGATGGGGGTTGGTCTGGGGGCTTAAGAGGTGGCTGGGCCCGGTTGCTCAGTTTGTGTACGGTTGCCAGGTGACTGGTATTTTCACTTCCTGGAAGGGGGGGGAAAATTAGAAAATACTGGACATTTTAGGTGTCCGGTATTTTCTGAATTTTTTTTTACCAGACAAGAGGCAAAAATACCAGACTGTCAGGGTCAATACCAGACACCTGGCAACCCTATCTGCACAAACACAATACAACAGAGTTCCATTGCGTGGCACTGGGGGTGTATGCATTGAAAGATAGAAATAATTCAAATTCCCAATTAGCTCTGGTCCTGTGGGGATATCCTACAGGAGACATCCCTATACAGGTTGAACCTCTCTAGTCCGGCACTCTCTGGTCCAATAACATCTGTTGTCTGGAATGATTTTAGTTAGCCAGATGCCTGTTTATCATGAGTGTGGCCAAGTTTCCAGTCATCGCATAAAGTTTGTTTTCAGCCACCAGTCCTAGCTCTCAGTGTCCTGTGCTATTATTTAGCTCTAATTTATCCCTAAATGTCTTCTAAGAGTCCAGCAAACAGTGGAAGTGTTGGGAATCTGTAAGACAATATTGACTTCTCGTGGTTTGGCAAATTCTGTGGTTTGGCACCAGTCAGGTCCCAAGGGTGCCGGTCTAGAGATGTACAACTTGTATTCAAGTTTCCCACTGTATTTTCCATAGTAACCATTAATAAAATTACTGTGTATATCTAGTTGAAGTCTTTCTCCTGACTGTTAGAGGATATTAAGGAAAACTGGGAAATACAAATGCACAGCGTCGGTCAGCGCACAAAGCACAAGATATTATCTTTCCTTCACCATCTGTCTATATGCGTCATGAGATTTTCCAGGGCATAGTGTAGACATGTGGTGTAAGAAGCATGGATGAAAACCACCCTAGGATTGAAGGAGAGCTTTGCTACAGCTCTGCCCTAAAAGAAGTTCCAGCACTGAGCAAGAAGCTTCCATCTCACATGCTTGTCTTCCATTTGCTAGAACTGAACTTCTCCAGAGACCAGCTATGCTGTTCTTGTTTGTCACCACATCTCTGCCTTCTAAACATAAACTGGTTTTATTTACTGATTAATTGTACCCACTACCTTATTGTTCAGAGCTTGTCTGCAAGCCAAACCACACTTATGCACAAATAAAAAATGGGATTTAAAAGCCTGAATCTTCAGTAGAATACTGTGGAAGTGAGAACATGTAGAGAACCCTTCTACAAGTAACAAAATACCTTATCATACCTATGGTTTTTTCAGCTGTGATCCTCAGATGCTCCAAATCAGAACACAAGAAGGAAATCATGTATGTGTTGCCTGATATTAAAGTTACGTTGTGTTGACAGGTTCTAGGATCTTTACAGATCAAACATTCTGGTTCAAACTGCATCGGGTGCCCATTGTATGGTGATTTGGTATGTATTGTTACACTTAGGTCCTTCTCTTTGGTTAAGTCAATTAAGTATGTTACATCTGAAATGAAAAAAATATATATAAATCAACATAGCAATTAAAGAAATGAGGTGAACTGGAACCTCACCCTATTCCTCTCTTCTCCAAAAATCAGATGTTGGACTTATCTTTACATTTAGTAGGAAAGCATTATTTATTTTTTAAACTATTGGAACCTATACAAATAAACATTCTTCTGATTTAGGAGCTTCAGAGGGGTAGCTGAGTTAGTCTGCAACAGGAAAAACATACAAAACAACGAATAGTCTAGCAGAACCTTAAAGACTAACAAAACATGAGCTTATGCTTATATGGGTACAACCCACTTCTTCAGATACTCCACAAAAGCTCATGACACCATCCAAATGTTTTGTTAGTCTTTAAGGTGCCACTAGACTATTCGTTATTTTTTAAGTTTTTTCTGATTTAGGAGTTGGAATCTCATTCTACTTCCTATTTTTACCCCCCTTTAGTTTTCTGATTTAGGAGTTAGAATCTCATTCTACTTCCTATTTTTACCCCCCTTTACAGGTATCATATGTAGATAGGAGCTAACAGTTGATATTTTGGTTTGGTTCTGGAGGAAAAAAAATCAGTTAATTTTGAAATGAAATCGATTTTTTCCAGTTTCAGTCACCAAAATACAAAACAGGGAAAAAAAAGTGTTTGACTCAAAGAAAAAGAAATGTTGCTTTTGGAAACTTTCAGCTGACTTTGATATGAATTTATGAATAGTTTTCATGCCCCTCCAAAGTGCATTTTTAGCAAATTTACCATTTGCTAATATTTTTCCCCATGTGATCATATATATGCTAATGCTTTCTGAAAAGGTTATGCAATAATACAAGGTGCTTGCTACAGAAAATTATTTCAGTCACAACCATAGAATTCACAACAGATGCTATAGAATGGTAGTAAAATAGACCAGTGGATAGAGCCCAGACTAAATCAGAAGATCTGGGTCCTATTGCCAGCTCTGTCAGACCTGTTGTGTGATCATAAGCAAGTCAGGAGAACACCTTTCTGTGTCTCCATTTCCCAACTGTAACATGGAGATAATGCTTTCTTACCCATGTAAAGTGGTTTAAGATCTATGGAAGAAACTTGCTAAGTATGTATGAAGTACTAGTACTATGTAGCTAATTAATTTCATTTCTCTATATTACATACCATACACGACAGCAATCCTGTCCACATGTTAATTTCATAAAGGACTGAAGCACTTTTCTGTGATGTTAACATTTTGGTTTTGTTTGTTTTTATTTTAAGCTTTACAAAACAAAATTGAGAATGAAGAACTTTGGAAATAGCAGAACATTTTTATGACTACTATGTGACCTTCTGTTTGATGGGTAATATGATTCTTGTTAAAGGATAACTAGAGATTAAGTCAGTCAGGTGGTTTTGAATTATTACAGGACTCAAATTCAATGGTTGCAGCTAGTTAATCACCTGTATATAAACAATTCAGGTGTCAATTCCTTTGAAGTTACTCTCTGATCTATATGCTGGCTGGTAACTGGGCGACAGGAGAAAGGAATCCAAATGGGGAAAATGAAATGGATTAAAAATAGCCTCAGCCCATAAACTGAGAGAAACCAAAGAAGCATGAACTTCAGGAATACAGATGGAGTTATGATCCCCAGAAGTCGGAGAATGGTGGGTGGTGTATTTGGGATAAGTGGGGCCTGTCTAAAGTGAGGGAATTGCTAAGTTTTAGGTAAGACAGTCATTCATGTAGGCCTTTTGTTGTTTTAGCCCTTTTCTCTGAATACTTTGTTCCTATGGATAAACAGCACTTTGTTTTGAAATAGCTAATTGGAATCACTGCATTTTCATACTGGTCTTAGCTCCTGAAGAGAAGTGTTTTACAGGAATCAAAACCAGCCACGCCTGCCAGAAACAGGGCTAGCAAACAGCAGTGCTGTAATCTCAAAAACCAGGCAGAAAGTTGGGTGAATCATGAGATTCCACTGTAAGAGGAGCAAAGGCACTAGGCTCATCACTTGAAAGGGCCCCCGGGGAAGGACAGAGAAATGGGTCAAAACGTACTGCTCATGCTGAACCACTAATGGCCACGAGTACTGAAATTTTGAAAAACAGAATTGAGACTTGTGCAAAAACAGTGTGCTAAAGGGTTTTTCTTACATTTTTTGGCCAACCCTACTAGTCACCCACTAATGATTTCAAATGGAAGAGTCCTCATTTCTCAGATTGACATTGACTACAAAGTTGCCTTCACTCCCCCTTGTACAAGCATATTAGACAAATTAAGTTCCTTCAGCTGAGCTGTGAACAAAACTGTCAAGTTGTCCAGAGTCTATTAGGAATCAAGCTCTGCCAACAATGTCCAAAGTGGAGGGGAAATGGATAAATATGGTATGCTTGCAACATTGTTAAAGTTTATCAAGATAATAGAGTATAAAAGAGGGCTTCCTAATACTCATTTCTTTAGATCTGACATTTAAAATGCACACACGTACAAAGCTGTGAGCAGCTAAGTATAATGTAATTTACAGTAATCACTGAGCACTATCCATATTACAGCTCTGCGTGCACTGGAATTTCCATTCCGTGAAAAAGAATGGGTAGTTCTGAGACTTTTCATTCTGAATCAGAAAAGAGTTGGATACATCAATATTTCCATGGAAGAGGAGTTCTAGAAAATTCTCTTCTGAGAAAAATGAAATGGAGTTTTTCATGAAATTCCAGGCAGGGGACATGGGGAGTCCAACAAGGGAGTAGCTGGCTATATAGGGAGCCTGTAAGATGAATAGCCTGCCTGGTTTCCATGAAGTGTGTAGATGGAACCGACATGGTCACATATAACATTTTGATTCTTTAGAATAATTTTATGACAGAAAACAGTTCCACTGGAAAATTTACAGTCAGTTGAAATAAATACAAATAAACTGACGACACCAACTAGCAGCCTCCAATAATCAACAGCTGATAATAATTTGCTTCAGCCGGTAGATAGCAAACGTGAAAAAAATCCAAAAAACCAGTCTGTCACCTCCTTTTGACAGACCTGTATCCTTCACCTAAACCCCTCTCTCACACATTTCTTCAGAATGTCATCGGATACGGGCTGTTTTGGATCAAGGATGGGGAGCAAGTGTAGTGTTGACAGGCAGAACCAAACCTGGGACCTAGTGCATGTGCCTGTATAGCTTGAGCTAAAAGCCAGCTGGCTCTCAGTTAAGGCTGCAGAGCACACTCATTCTCTCTTTGTAAGTGGTCTAAAGGGTTACTACCTGGGCTAGTGAACCATACCCAGTAGGTGTGTGAGTTAAACAAGCTCCAGAATCCCTGGGCCCTTACAGAAAACACCTTGCCACCAGCCCCCCTTTCTTGTATAAAGAGTGCAATCCGGCTCACAGGGCTCTGCTGACTGTAGCTGTGTTACTGGGGCATTGGGAGTTAAGTAGTCTCTCAGACAGGTAGTGTCTCAGTCCATTTAAGTCTTTGCAGGTCTATGGCACACAGAGGGACTACAGGCTGTTCGTAAGGCTATGTCTAGACTGCAGCCCTCTGTCGGCAGAGGGATGCAAATCAAGCACTTTGAAAGTGCAAATGAAGCCGGATTTAAATATCCTGCACTTCATTTGCATAAACATGGCTGCCGTTTTTTTTAAATGGAGCTTTTTCAAAAAAAAAATGGCAATCTAGACGCGGATCTTTCGAAAAATAAACCCTTTTTCGAAAGATCCTGTGAACCTCATTTTATGAGGGATAAGAGATCTTTTGAAAAAGGGTTGTATTTTTGAAAGAGCCCCATCTAGACCGCAGGGTTTTTTCAAAAAAGCTCCATTTTGGAAAAGAGCGGCAGCCATGTTTATGCAAATGATATTTAAATCCTGGCTTCATTTGCACTTTCGAAGTGCCTAATCTACATCTCTCTGTTGACAAAGAGGTTTAATCTAGACACAGCCTAAGAGATTTGTGCTTGATTTTAAATCCAGAGGACATTTGTCCCTTTACAGAATGCCAGTCCTCTGAATGCTCTAGAGAATGCGTCTGTCCAGCGGGAGTAAATAAAGTTTTTTTTCTCACTGCTGCGGAAGTGTCATGATATATGGTAAATGACAGCTAGAGCTAGGAAGGTGTGGCTAATATAACTGAAGAGGTCTTGGACTACTTAGTCCTACTGCACCTATTTTTCTGTCTCTTCCATTAATTAAAAGATAAGAACCTCAGTTTGTGAGTCCCACACAATGTTTTCTAAATGGAAATCAAAAGGGAAGCGGCTTCTGTTAAATGTGGTATATTGCTGCATTTGCCCAGACAGACAGCAACTGCTTTCGCCCAATTCAAGTAGGAAGCTTGTTTTTGAAAAGCTATTATTCTGTCACAGAAACCTTGTAAGATTCTGCTCCCTTAAGGTTTGAGCTACCAGACTACAGGCAGTCCCCGACTTACAAACAGGTTATGTTTCAAACACCTGGTCGTAACTCAGTTTGGTCGTAAGTCGGAAATACCCTTTAATGTGCTGTCCGCACTGTTCGAAAAACTTGACATACATGGTTCTTAACTCGAAAATATTATAATGGAGTTAATGGGAGGTTAGTCGTAAGTAAGGATAGTCATAAGTTGGTGTGTTCATAAGTCGGAGAGTGGCTGTAATTTAGTAGTAAAGCAATCAAATAAACTCCTCTCAAGGGATGGAAGCACTGCAGTTAAATGAATCATCTGGCCAATTGAGTGGTCCCACTGACATCCTCCAAGGGTGGTCCTCGACCAGAAGAATAAGTGGCTGTGATGCAGGCACTGAGGATGTGCACATTCTATCTGGGCACCTACATCAAGTATGAACTTAGGGGCCTGCATTTTCAGAGGCACTACACAACCACAAGACCCACATAAGGTGAGTATGACTCAGCACTTCACAATCAGGCTGCTTAACATTATGGCAGCAAAAGCTGAACACTGTGGCCAGCATGTATAAAAATGGGGCCATTACAAAAGGTGGGAGAGCACTATTATCTTCATTTGACACATGAGAAACTGAGGCGCAAAAC